TGAACCGGAGTCATGGCGAGGTCAATTACTATCTGACGCAGATGTTGTCAGGACATGGATATTTTCGGACGTATCTTCACCGCTTCAAGCATGATGATTCACCGGAGTGCCCGTCCTGCCCAGGAATCAATGAAGACGCGGAGCACGTTTTCTTTGAGTGCCCACGATTTTATCCGCAGCGAGATGAGCTGGAGATGATTCTGAAGAAGAAAATCCAACCAGAGACAATAATAGAAGCAATGCTGTCATCAGAAGCTGCCTGGAATGCCGCAAACACGTTTGCGACAGAAGTCCTTATAGACTTGCGTTCCATCGGAAGAAAAAGAGCAAATCACAACAACTAGAAGAAAGGTAAAATAATACCTTAGTTACCAGAAGGAAGAGCAGTCGCTATATCCTCCCCCCATGAAGTAATGCCTAACGGCGGTTTCCATGAGGGATTAGAGGAAAGAGGAAAGGGGTTTAGGGTTTAGTGGGTAGGGGCGTTAGCGTCGAGTTTTAGTTTGACGCTGCGTTGAGTAGCCACATATCCAGGCCAAACAGCTAAGCCTAGAATCCGTAAAAAGGATTCCCCCCCCCCGCCCTAAGGGAAAGAAGAAAAAAAAAACACACACTCACACACATACACTGATAAAAAAATCAACTTGACTCGAGAGCCAACATCTTGAACTAAGAATACCATTTTGAAGAAAATGATTTTCTCAAGTCAAGAGAGTAAATTCTTGAGTCAATAAATTATTCTTGATTTAAGTAAAATTTTCTTGTCTCAAGAATTTATTCTCTTGACTCAAGAAAATTATTTTCTTCAAAATGGTATTCTTGGTTCAATATTTTAGCTCTTGAGTCAAGTTGGTTTCTTTATCAGTGTACATACATACATACATACATACATAGAGACATAGTGACATCCTCGCGGGGATAGTCAGGGAAGCTTCCTGTGACGTTCAAACGTCGAGATCTGATGAAAACTCGATTTTTGTGAAACGGAGTAAAACCAATAACTTCTCGATTTTTGAAAATGTTAGATTTTCATAGCGGAACGTTAAAAATAAGATTCAGCGTCTTTTAGTCTTCAATAACTTAAGATTTCCTTAAGTACCCCATTTTGCCCCCCTCCCTCCCCTATAATAGAATATAAATATATAAATAATTTTTAATTTGTATTTGTTTACGGCAACAAAGTAATAAAAAGAAAAAAAAATTTATTCTAATGTATATAACTAAAATTTATGATAAATACAACAAATTAATAGCAAGTATCAAGTGGCAAACTTGCTACGAATTACCACTACGACCTTCCACAGCATGCTAACAGATGCGCAGGGGAGAGGGATAGTAAGATGGACCAAGAACTCCGCTGTCCATCTTACAGCATCAAAGAAAGTTTATTTCTGATGTATATAACTCAAATTTGTAAAAAATACAACAAATAGCAAATTTTAAATTTCATGCTACTAACCATTACTACCACCACCACAACTTCCCCTTTTTTGCAAACAGGAAGCTGGGGAAAAATGAGGGTTGAAGTGAGGTGGACCGAGAACTCCGCTGTCCATCTTACAGCAACAAAATAAAGAATAATTCGATTTCTGTAAGAAATAAAAAACTTTTGTTTCTTCTTTATCCCAAATTCGAGATGAAAAATACTTTGATAACAAAAATATTCTAGATCGAAAAATTAATTTTTAATCCAGTATTTGAGATTATAAAAATTTTTTTATTCCGTACTTGGAATTAAAATTTTTTTTTTATTTTTTATCAAGTATTTAGGATTAAAATTGTTGTTTTTAATTTTAAATCCGATTTTTTGGATTAAAAATTTATCTTTAATTTTTCAATCCAGTATTTGGGATTAGAAATTTGAAAACTATTTTTAATCAAAATTTTCGGGATTACAAAATAGAAAAAAAAATTAATTTTAATGTTAATTCAATTTTTTTTTTAATGCATTATTTGCAACCCTGCTTGAAAATGACGAATTTTCAAAACGAAAATTACAAAAAAGTTTCTTTTGTTGATGCAGATAACGGATGTAAAACGATAAAAAAAATCGGAAAAACGGTTGACTCTTGAAGCCACCACTGATACTTTTTATTATTTTTTCAATGTGAAATTGCTTAGAAATGTAAAACTGTTGGCTTAAATATATTTATGGTTGGTTACTGAGTAGACAAAAAATTCATCTTAAGCCTAAAAAAGATAAATATCATATCGCTGCTTTCCTTTGGAATACTAGCTGTATACCTACTCATTTTTTCATTGAAAATCACTGAAAATAAAAATTCTTCGGGCCTCTGGACCAGAAAGAAAAGCTATTGCCATCTTCCGGCTCAAAAAATAAAATGGACATTACCATAGGTTCAAATTTACTCTAAGCTTATCGACCTGACCTCCCTACTCTCGAATTTTGGAGGCGCCAATTAGCTACCTTCCCATTGGCCTACTTTAATTAGCTGTAATTTAAATTGTAATGCAAATTTTTTAAAATCGTTCAGGAACTTTCGATTCAAAATTTCCATCTCTATACCCCATAAAAGCTCTTACAGTAATTTTGGGACAAACTGTGTATATATATATATATAAACTTTTGAACCATATGTATTTTCTGACTCAGATTGTCGAGTTAGGTCGAAATATAGTAAAATTAACGGAAAATTTCATCATGAGGACAAATACAATAGTTAGATTTTTATGAAATCTACTAAAAATGCAAATATTATCTTTACTTCCATCAAGTTGGTCAACAGAAAAAATTGTCAATATTTTTGGCGTATCAACATACATGATCAAAAAGATGAACGAAAAAGTACAACAAGATGGTATTTTATTTTTGTCTGATGAAAACAAAGGCCACCCTTTACTGAAAGCTGCTGAAGATAGAGTCCAAGAGTTTTTTGGAAGTCAAAATGTCAGTCGAGAATCACCCGGCAAAAAGAATACAAATCTATTATTGAAAATAGTCAACAAGTGCAAAAGCAAAATCTGTTAGTATTGGGTAACTTAACCGAAATTTACTAGTCGTTAAAACAAAAATACCCATTTGAAAAAGTAGGTTTTTCAAAATTTGCGAGTAATATTTGTTCCGAAAACAGTGATCACTTTCTGTCAGTGTTTGTAAAATGCCTCCTAAACTAAATGTTGGATCACTGGGCAGTAGCCCTGCTTTTACGCCAAAAAAATGTAAGGATTGTGGCAGCAACATTGTTACATCTAAAACTGTCAACTGTAACAAATGCCAGGCTCTGTACCACCCGGGATGTGCAAAAGCCTAAAATGTATTACAGTCAGATGTATTTTAAAAATGTTGTGGTCCCAAGAACGCTCTTTCACTGGATGACATAACGGAAATGCTCCGTGTGGAAAACGGTACTCTGAGAAAAGAAATCTATGAAGATTCATTGAAGGTTTTTGACCCGGTTAAAGCGATCGTTGATGCACATCGTGTTGACCTTGAAGAATTGTCAGCGAAACTTGGCGACAGGATGACAGCTATTGACTCGGACACTGTATCTATTGACTCTTTAGCTGGCAAATTGGAAACTAATCGCGGTAAAACGGAGGCTTCGATCTTCATAGAAGTCGAAGATCGAATTAGCAGGCGTAACAACGTCCTAGTCATGATCAGAGAAACCAAGCTGATCTTAGCCTTATTAAGGATTTAAATGCTGCCGTTCAGATCGACCTCGCTCCAGTAAATGTTCATCGCCTGGAGAAATATTCGCTTGCTCTATCTCTTCCAAGGCCACTCAATATAATTTTTAGTCTACCTAGTCACCCTGATACATTTGTACAGAAAATTACCGAAACGAAGCGTCTAGGGCAACTACCTCAAGTCTTTGCGCAAATATCAGTTGCGAAAGACCGCACTCTCCGTCAGTGTCAAGAACAGAAAGCTATAGTCACAGAGCTGCGTCGTCGGAAGGAACTGGGAGAGACAAACCTGCGGATAGTGACGAAGAATGGACAGCCGACCATCGTTAAGCACCCTCTGAGGCTGGATCAACACCAAAAACTGGAAGCTCCAGGAACAAAATAACTATATTAATTACTTCTATTAAACATTTCTCAGTTTATTAGTTAAAGTTTTATGCCATAGTAGGTCAAGTGACTAGTAGATTTTTTTTATTCAATCCCAAAGATGGATGGTCCATCTTCCCTTTTGTTCGAGAGCTATATTCTCTACTCCCATTAGTTCGCTGGAAATCCATCGAACTTGAATACTAGTAAAGTTGGAAGCTTGTGGTATCTGTTCGAGTTATAAAGATTTCTCAGTTTATTACCAGAAGGTTCGTGGTCTCAAGTTAAAACTTAGAACAATATTTTGTAAAACAATGTCTGTTGAGTATAACGTTCATGTTTTAACTGAAACTTGGCTAAATTCAAATATTTTTTCCTCTGAGAATTATGATAAGAAATTATATTCTGTTTTTTAAGAATAGATGATAAGTTATTCTCTGGTAATATTTTTGACCAAATAATACAACGTTACTAATTTAATCTTTATTGACCAAGTTTCAAATCTTAACAGATGTTTAAAACACAAATATTCTCAGTACTCTAACAATAATTTTTTCTTTCTTTTATTTTTCTCTCTTCAGTGCATGATTTGTTTAAGTTAATTAAAATATTATTGTTGTTACTTTCGATTTTGTTTTTTGCAAATATGTAATAAAATATTGTAAGAGGACGTTAATTCTATACTCTAGTGACCCTGTTATTGGCTATTGCTGTTGGGTCTTTATGTAGAGAAATAAATAAATAAATATCTGGTTTCGCTTCGCTCAACCGATAACAACGTACTTGGATTTGTTGAGAATGCGCTCATAATCTCAGCCTCGTGACGTCACTTCAAGCTTACCAAAATACCTATCTTTCAGCATACGTATTGAAAATAACTATTTGTGGGTTGTGAAATCCTACAACTTAACAATAATTGTAAAAGAACCAGTCCTCAGGGTGCCTAGGTCCTTTTTCAATGAGAATAAGTGAAGTTTAAATAAATGGCAAAATCAGGCGAGCAATCAGTTATACCCGTCGCAATTCCAAATGTTACAGTTAAGATAAGTAATACCCTAGGTCACGAAGTCTGCGATTAGGAACTGCGAACTCTCGAGGATAAGAGGCTCCAATTGTCTGAGCTCCAATGCCCATATTCAGAGGGTTTATATAAGATTCCTCTTGATGTTAACATAGAGGTATTGATTGTTCTTTCTTAATGTATTGTAAGATTAAAAGTTGTTGAATGGTGGTGCTTTCCACCTGTATACGATAAACGATGGAGGATGATATGATTGACAACATTTGGAACTGACCAAAGATTGGTTGAAAGAGGTCTATCGTTTGATTTGTTTACTGAGTCACAGAACACAATTACTATTGTTTCTCCGTGGAATAACATCTTGAAAATACTCAGCCCCTGTATTTTTATTAAGGGGCACAACTAGTGTGAAATATTAAAAAAAATCGGTATTCTTTTTCATATTTCGATAGGTTATAGATTTAAAAATAGCATACTAAAATTTTTAAACGAAATCTCAAATAGTTTTTGAGTTACAGCCATTTAAAAAGTAGCCGCTCGGCAGTTAGAATAGGATCATTTTATCTTTTAACGCGTTTTTCTCGAAACAGCATTTTTCGAATTTGCTGCAGTGATTACTTGAAGACAGATGATCCGATCACTACCAAATTTTTAACTTCCCGCTAAAAATCTCAGATTTTCAAAAATCGGGAAGTTATTGATTTCATCCCGTTTTGCAAAAATCGAGTTTTCATCAGATCTCGACGTTTTAAGGTCCTAGGAAGCTTCCCTGACTATTCCCGCGATGGTGTCCGTGCGGCTGTATGTATGTGTGTGTGTGTGTGTGTGTGTGTGTGTGTGTGTGTGTGTGTGTGTGTGTGTGTGTGTGTGTGTGTGTG